AGGAGTTGTGGGTCACTGCAATTAAGGCGTGCAGGGATGTTTAGGTTCACCTGACACAGCCCGATTCCCTTAATACATCAAATTAATACGAAGTAGGGCAACATGAAGGGGAACCGGGCGAGTCCGGCTAGATTGACGAGCTTACCTTCATGAAACGCCTTGATCTGAATCCTAGTTGATCTTGCCTCTCTGCATGCAAGCATAAGCTGAAGAGATCTTGGACATTTCGTTTCAGTGCCATTCAAGTCGGAGAAAAGCGCCCAGCATACAGACTGACGGATGGCAGTCCTTTCGGTGTACATGATACCTTTGGCGCGTTCACGTACCTGGCAATGCTGTTGACCCACATGCCCACATATTCGGTCCAACAACCATCTGAAACGACAAATTGATCAAATTGAGCATCCTAACCCATGTAGGCAAGCATCTGTCTCTACTTACCTGTCACCGACCTTTTTCCCGTTGCATCCCTTTGCCAGGGTCTTAGGGAAATTGCCGACTCCGGGATTCGATGCACATGCATCAAACAAACGATATATTACAAGGTGGATGCATCTGGCTGCAAGAAGGAGAATGTCTCCCTTTTTGGTATCGGACTTAAACTTATATTCAGCTCCATGAAAGAATCCTCTGCAATTCAACCCTCACAAACCATCCGACCGTCTTCGTCTTTTCAGGATCTTTCAGGGGATTTTGGGACGTCTTGGAGGCCCTACGGACATCAAAGGAGTGCTCATCTGAAGCTGGACTTGCTCCAAGAGCTGATCCTGCCGGAAGGGTGATGCCAGGACCATGCGTGAGCATGCAGAGCATGCGGACGGCCCCTTCGGAGCAAGGGTCAGAACATGGCAAGTCAGACTTGTGACACATGCAACTGTGATACCGGTACCTCTTAGATCCTAGTGATTGCTATTGTGACCTTGCTGAAAATGCCTGACCTCTGCTGCTGGTCGGATGCGGTTGAAAAGCTTGGGAGGAATGAGGACAAAAGTGGAGACTTGAGGGAAACAATTCAAGGAAAATCTACAGGTCTTGCGGCCTCATTTGATTGGATCCGGTCCTGCAAAGCAGTACTCAATGAGGTTAAGTACCAGGTTTAACTTGTCCTTTGGACTTGTAGGGAAATATACAGTATCTCCTATTGTTATTGGAGTGAGCGATATGGCCATATGGCTCTATCCGGATTTACCAGGGCCCAGTGGATGATGATAGTTAGGTTGCAGGCCTTTCTCTAAAATAGTGGTAGTTGTTTGCTGACCGTTACAGGTAAGTTCGGACAGACCCCAATGATGCTGAATGATGCTGATCTACGGGGACAATCCATGCAAAGGGCTGCCCCAGCTTCCATCATGTCGCAACGATGGGCATGAAGCCAACGATTCAAGGCAAGACACGGCAGTTCGCTAAGGGAAGCCGTTGGCCGCCGAAATGGTCAGCAGCGGGTCTTCAAACGGCGTGGCTCCAAGTGGAGGAGTCTCCCAAGGATATGTTCCACTATGCTCCACTTCGTCCATGCTAGTGAGTCGGAGTGTAGACAGCTGTATACTTGCTAGGGGCAGCTAGGATCTGCTTCTCCCACGGCACCGCCAGCAGCTCCTCTTCATTCTTGATGCTCTCCTTGATGGCTTGTTCTCTGGAGTCCTGTCCGACCGTGCCCAGCATGCCGGGTGTCCGGTGCGCAACATCACCGGCACAAAAAATGGAACTGCTCCAGAAGCACCAGCCTGACTGTGGTGCCAACAAAACCTGCCTGACTATGGCATAATATGGCAGCCGATTGCCTATGCGAGCACACCTTCCAGCGAACACCAGCGCCTTGTTGGCCTCCTCTTCAGCCTTCAGCTTCGCGGAGACCGCCAGTAACGAGTTCGCCTTAATGGAGACAGGCCGGTGGAATCACTGGTCTTTAGGTGAAGCTAAATGCGAAAACAACACTCCGACTCAAATAATGTACATGAAGAGGTGGTTCAATTCAATTGGGTGTGTGTGTTAATCAAGAGTCTACATTTGGTGATTTCAAAGAGTAGGCATATAATATTATATAATACCATCCAATCCTTGTTTGGGTCGAACAAATCCTTTGGCCATCTTGTCCCAATCTCGGGTGCTTGGATCCATCATCGGCCCTACCGCCATCCCCAAAGAATCCGCATAGACCTCAAAGTCAACAAAAGCACAACTCCGGTCATAGCTGCGATATTGGTCAACATCCACACATCGTTCCAGCAACCCCGCTGAGCAAGCCGGGCAATGCCCCGCTTCTTCTTCTCCTGTGCCCGGCTCCGGTGGAGATAGAACTGGGATGTCCATGTCGCTTTGCTTGTGCCAGCTACCAGCACTGTACTACACTACTCTACCTGTTGGTGTCCATTGGGGGCGGCGGGCGGGATACCGCATTTCACCTTGAACTTCTGCGGATGCGGACCATGTCCTTATTTTATCTTTATCTATCCATCTAAATATATACAATTATATACATATGGGCCATGGGTGCTGAAGGTGACGTATAAAAACTCATGTGGTACCCCAACTTCCCTGGCTCCAAACTTAAGGCATCCCCAAAACGACCCGACTTCCTCATTTCCAAGCAAACTGCATCCACAGGGAAAAATCGCCGGCGTTCTCGGCTCCATGAGTATCAGTGCTCGAGATATCTCGAGATGCACCATGTCATGGCGTGCAAACAAGCCACAAGAATCCCAAGTCCTTAACACAAAACAACATGTTCCAATTCCGGGAATGCGTCTTCGTCTTCCCCGGCGACGGAACAGGAGCAGCCCAAAGGCGTTTTCCGCCGCATCACGAGGGTCCCACCTCGGCGAGCCGTTCCCGCATCACGCGCTCGGCTTCTTCTCGTCTCTCCTTCTGCCTGGAGAGGTTCCAGAGGTCCAGAGCGGTGGTTCTGGGTGTATGGCGGGTGGAGGTCTCGGCCTCTCAAGGTTTTTTTTCATGTCAGCATGTCACAGATTCCAAATGAACCAAGTCCTTCAGAAAAGCTGTGTGAAACCTACTGTACCTACAAAGTCAGTGAAGGGCTTCCAAAGATCCCACCATCGCAGCTCCGGTTTGTCTCACAAGCCAACCCCGGAATGTTTGCGCGACACTATGCCCGGGTTTTGCATCATCAGTGGTTCCCAATGTTGTTGACAATGACTTGCACTTCTGTACGAGCACTGGCACCATAGCTGTGGCCAGGATGGCGTGAAGCAGTGAGTCTGGACATTCTGGAGCAAGTGGGGTCCACAAAAATTCCGGACCTCGTTGGCACCCAGCTCCAGCCGGAACCACTTCAGGGTGTCCCAACCATCTTCCAATTCTAGTCACCTGCACATAAAAAAGACAACGAAGTGCCCAGTATCATCTAAGATTGTCGTGCCCCCACTTCCTTTGGACCGATTGGTCCTAGGCTCTTCACTTAGCTGCCACCCGGTCAGCTGTGCCACCCGGTCCGAGACTCACTTCTGCCAGGCCAACCTCGCGACCCCACCCAGATCACCTGTCCGAGACGAGCTTCTCCTTCATGGCAGCCTCTGCAGGCTAGGGGCCGAATCGAAAACAACAAGCTGGGGCCCATCTGGGGGAGGACGTGAGGCATCATGAGGCTACAAAGTCTCTTTCTTCTCTGTTTTGTGGACGCCTTGGTGCTTCCAGCCACTGCACTGAGCGGTCGCCCCTTTCAACCGAATCCGGGCGCCCTGAGCTCCACGAAGCGACTGGTAGTGCCTTACGCTTTTTGATCGGCACGTAGTCTTCGTAGCCGTCATCTTCCTGAGGCCAGGGCCAGGGTTGCAGTGGCAACAGCTGCGGCCCTGAAAAAAAAGAAAGAGCTGTTGTGAGTTGTGATTTTGACTCCGAGTCCCTGAAGTAGCATCCTTGTTCCTAGTAGTAAGGCCAGGAGCCCCTAGGCCCTAGTAGCGTCCTTGCTCCTACTTAGTAGCGATGCCAGCCCCTAGAGTGCTTCGCTCAAAGTAGACAAAGTCCGAGTCCCCGAAGATGTCCTGGACCATCATCCATTTTAAAGGATCTGCCAAATGCTGCAAAGCTTCCGCAGGATTGGTCAATGGGACGGGGACACGCATTTGGTATATATGAAGCACCCAAACACAAACACACAAGTCACAAGTCCTTGAGGATGTTCGAGTCTATAGTCAGTGGACAAGCTTGGACAAAGGGAGGTGCTCAAAATCACCACCCAGAAATCACACAAACAATATAAGCATCATGAAGCATCTTTCAACAAAACACATTTGAAGGAAGTCCCATCAAGGTGCATCCTGGGCACGTCAGGATCCAACAAAGGCTGCGCATCCTCCTCTTCTGCAGGTCGTTTACGCCTTGGTCGAAGCACATGTTGCTTCAGTCAGGAGGAATAGTTCAGGGGCAAAGTTGGACTGGAGGTAGTGTCCGTTCGTTAAAGGGGATGCGGCGACTTTCCTGGAATTAGACAGATACCTGGAGTCTCAAGTACTTCAGACAATGGGTACAAGTACCTGTTATTATAGGGTCATGTCCCATGTTCTAAGGTACTTTGGAGGGCCCAGGTTTATATATTACACAATAATATGACCTTAGCAGGGGAATCCAAAAGCTTGGTCTACTTCGATCTGTGGACGTCTCCTCACTTGGACTCAAGTTTGTCGCCCCCCTCCACGTCGCTCTGAGGCGCCCCAGCATTTCTGCTGCGCCTTTCTCTCGCGGGCGAAGACGTTGGCGAGTCGAATTGACAGCCACCCCAGGGCCCCAAATGTGAAATGCTCAAGAATGCTGCAACTGTAGCTCCCAAACCCAAGATCTCCAACCGGGTTCGAAGGTCCGGAAGACACCCCTTGCTTTCTCTCACAAACTAAACGAAACCAACAAAAACAAGTTAACATGTTTCTCTTCACAGAAGTCAGAAGTCCTTGAGATGTTCTAGTCAGTTTATGTACTTTAAAAAACTCGTTCGATTGTAAGAAGCCAACCCCCGCGATCAGCGACCCTGAAACCATCCCAACCATGCTCCTCCAATCGCAGCGCCCCCGGCGCCGCGATGCGCCGCGCAAACGCTCAGGGCATCTCCATCTGCTCGAGCCCGGTGGCGGAGCGAGCAAACAGGTGGCATTTCATCAAGTCTTGCAGTGTTTGGTGTCCCTTAGGGACATTTTAGAAGAGGCCACTCAAGACATTGTGGCGTTCCAAAGGGGATTGTAACAGTGACTCGAAAAGCGAGCCACCTCAAAAAATACGAGATATGTTCATCAAGGCGATGAAGTCAATCTGGGCGCTCCTATGCGCTCGTGCTTTGTGTGTGCTTTCCAGGATGTGCACTCAACAATCCACATTGGCCCTGCCACTGTTCTTTAGTGAGTCTTTGGAACCTCCATCCACCGGCCAAGTGTCATGTCACAACACATTATTTGTGCAAAGTCTCATGCACCAGCAGTCCCGTGTAACCGTGGTTTTGAGTGCAGTGGGCATCCTCCAAGTTCGGCACCCCGTCCACTCCTGGTAGTCACACCTTGATGATGGCAGCTTCTTCCATGTAACTTTTTCGCTCGGCTCAGTGCTGAGTGAAGAGCGTCCCGGCCAAGGGCCCTTGTCGGAGCCGCTGCAAGAGAAGTTGCCCATCGCTCCATGAGATCTCGGGTGGTCGCAGGGTCAAAGGAGCTGGAATGGCGATATGGCGGCTCTATCCAGGGCCCAGTGGATGATGATGGGTAGGTTGCAGGCCCTTCTCTTAAAATAGTAATTTGCTTGTTTAAATTTACTGTCACAGGTTTACAGGGACAGACCCAAGATATGGGTCGGTGAATGGATGCCCAGCTGGTTTTGGCCTTTGGCACTTGCCTACGCCGACGCTGATCTCAAACGGTTCAACACAGCTGAACCCCCCCCTCACATTCTGGATGGAGAGTGATGGCTCACGAATGGGCACGAAAAGGTGCTGGGACCCACGAACAGGGTGCTAAGCAAGCAGAATCAAACAGAACCGGAGTTCGCTGATGTCGAAACTGGTCTTGCAGGCCGATCTCGCCATGATGTTGCATGATGTATTTGCGTGTCGATCATGTTGGTGGGTTGAATGTCAACGACATCAAGTCCATCCCTCTGAAAAGTCTCTCACATCCGACGACGGGAGACTCCACCGTTCAAGTGTCTAAGCCAAGGACGAACGCAACGGTTGCGTCCAAGCAGCCATGGCAGCTGGAACACGAACCTGCAATCGTTCCAGCGAAGTCGATGGGACTTTCAGGAAACCGATTTTGCCGGTCGTTGGAGGATGCGAGGTGATGCGAGCCTGCGAGCTGGAGGAGTCTGTTGCCAGATCAGTGGCACAAACGTCATGCTCCGTTGGATGTCCGGTGGATCATGCGCCAGTTTTCCCTCCAGTTCACGGAAAGAATCGTTTTTGTGCATCCTTTTGCAGCCCCACACATTCCCCGCATCAAAAAGGAGGGGCGCCTCATCTGCGCACATTCTCCGCCCCCCCAAAAAGAACACACGCAGTCGTGTCGTAGCAGTCACGGACAGCCGAGAAAAAACCGATCACGTGCAATCGGTGGACATGTGAGTCATGTGAGTAATGAGATGTATGAAAGGAACTTTAGTGAAACTTAATCTTTTCAAGTGACAGGTCTGGGGAAGTTGGCAGCTACTGCTCCATGGCTCAAGGATGCAGCATCAAGTCATGCAGCTGAGCCGATCATAGATTATCATAAGGAACCAACTCCGTGAAGGTCATGGGACGATCGGCTCCAAGGAACTCGGGGGGGGTTCGACCCAAACAACGCTCAGATCGTCCGACACTCGGTGCATTGAAATAGGGAGACCTCCCAGGCAACGACCCCCTTGGAAGAAGGACAAGTCCATTGCCATGACACATAGAATCAATAGACCCAAAAACACCTAAGTACCAAAAAAGACCAACATCCATTGCTTGGGGATCGGGGTTTCCTCCGTGTACATGGCATTCCTGCCTCAGCTCCTCCGCCTCGCTCCTGGTTGGGACAGGTCATGACCTCCAGTCCGCCGGACGGATGTGCGGCGGTGGGTTCGGGAGCACCAGCGGGGGATGTGCCGGGGAATGGTGTCGATGATCCACCTAAACTCACTCATGGACCATCCAAACCACCCCCCGACGTGCAGTTCCAGCAGTTACCATGCCATTCGAAACATGGAACCTCTGATTCAAGTGGACCCTGTTTTTGGAGTGAGGTCCCATCCTCTGTCCGGGTTCTGGAGACCAGGGCCATCTGTCATCCCCTTGGCCGACCCCGCATCCTGACCACTGCAGATGTGTGGATGATCTGTGCAAGGTCCCCCCCTGAAATGTGCAGAACTATGTTTCTGCTTGTTTCTAGAGGTCGAACACTGTATTGTATAGAATGGAGCACCTCAACAACCTCAGATGCTGTTCTGGGAAGCAACCCACCATGTACTGGGAGTCATTGAATATATGAGAGCGTGCTTCGAGTTTCAGCCGCCGGACGCTGATTGACATGCTTTTCGCTCAACTCCGATCTCCCTCAATGCTGAATGAGAAAGGACTCAGAATGCTACAGAGATGTTCCCGTAGATACTAAGAGTCTGCAAATAACAGTGGAGCTATGAACCCGTTGAGGTTGGGGCAACAGTGGCCTTGAAGTTTGAAAGCAATAATATGCAATAATGACATTCGACCGTGAACTGTTGTTCATTTCGTAGTTCCCGCATGTTTCAACCCTTGTTTCAGGGTCTCATTCCAAGCCTTGTCACTACCACTTCGACTTGAATTGCGAATGGCAATTCAACAAATTCTTGCGATCACGCAAAGTGTTTCTGGCATGGTTTGGCCCAAATCCCCAACGTCCAAAGCGGTTTGGCCCAGATCCCCAACGTCCAAAGTTGCAGCCTGTTTGACCCCCTCACGATACCATCGACGGCCCCAGAAGCCCACGGGCCTGGAGCCTCTGGTCGTAGGTCTCGGAGTTCATCATGATGATTCCTCTGGTCGTAGGTTCCGGTTGACACCCGCGCACTCGCGTGACTAGATGTGACAATGAATGAAGAATGCTAAGTTTTCCGAGAAAAAATGTTGACATCATGTTTTGTTTTAAGGGTTCTCTATTATGCTATGTTTGGGGGGGATTCTAATTTTGTTATTGCCGTAAAAAGGGTGGTCTTAAATCCTTCGGAGATCTGTCAATCCTACTAAGCCAATGACTGGTTTGCTGAGGTTATTGATAAGTATTAAGTATCGGTTTCTCCAGTTCGTCTTCAAAACTGACAGCGTCCCAAAGCGATCAGCTCCTTAATCAATAGATAGTGATGCAGCAACCCTTAGAAGAACATCTGGAGTTCTTCAATATATGAAATCCACTGCTTTAAAAGATCAAAGAAACGGCTATTTTAGAACATTCGAACTTAGAACGTGAGTAATTTAGAACAGGCCCTTAGAGCATCACACCCAAATTTGTTCCTGATGCCGTACGTGGATGGCAGCTATGCTCTAAGTGCATGTTGATCCCAAAGCCTCATGCAGTATACAAAGCCTAGAACGTCCTTTGGATGCTAGGAAATTAGTTCCTGTTGGTTCCTATTGGTTTCCTTGTAAATTCCAGTTCATTCCTATCGGTTTCCTTTAACAATTCCTTTTGATTTCCCTTTGAATTCCTGATGATTCATTTTGGATTCCTTTTGATTCCTATTGATTTCCGTTTAAACTCCTTTTGATTTCTATTGATTTCTTGCTAAATTTATCTGGTTCCGATTGATTCCTTTTTAAATATCCTTTGGATTCCTTTTGGTTTCTTTTACATGCCTGTTGACTCCAAGTGATTCCCTTTCATATAGACTTTATTTGTGCATTCCTGATCTATTGATTTCCTTTTTGATTGTGTGATTCCTGCTGGTTCCCTTTTAGGTTCCTTTTGGTTGCTAGTGGCTTCCTTTTGTATGAACATCTTTGATTCCTAGTGGTTTCAATTGAAACTCCTTGTTGGTTTCCCAGCTACATATACACACACCCTATATACATATACATCTTCCGGTTGGCATGGCCGTGGTGCATGTTCAAAATTTCCATTTTGCAAGTGGCCGAATGAGTTTGTGCCAAGTCCTATTGGTGTTCTTCTAAATTCCTGTGATTGTGTTTTTTGAAAGAGTTCCTTGTAACAGTCTAGTCTATGGTTTTCCTTTTAAACTCCTTTTGGTTCCTCTTGATGTCCTTTTTGAATTACACTTCATTGCTTTCTATTGGTGTCCCTTTTTAATTCCTTTGGTTCCTCTTGATTTTTTTTCAAATCTCCTTTGGTTCCTACTGATTTTCTTAATGACTTCCTTTGAAATCCAATTGATTTACTACGTCGATGTTTATATAAACCACATAAATACTGTTTATATATATATATTTAACAATTTTTTCTTAGTTTTCTTTGGTTCCTATTTCCTTTTGAATTCCTGTTGATTCCGATGGATGTCCTCCTAAAGTTATTTTTGGTTCCTATTCATGTCCCTTTTGATTTGTTTCTTTTTAATTGTGTCTTGATTTTCTAGGTATATGTATATAACTGTATATGTATATATACTTATACACCCCTTCTACATGCATCTTCAGGTTGGTATGGTCGTGGTGCATGTTCTATGTTGTGTGTCCGTTTCCGACTTTGGGGTTGCGAGGCATGTAACAATGCTGGAAACGTCGCAAATTTCGAGCCTGAACCTCGCTGGAAGCCAGGGCGGTAAGGCTTCCAGCTCGAATCTGCAAGCTTCTTCCCAGCGAAACGTCCAGCGTGCCAGGAACAGTGGGCACATCGGAGCAATGAATAGTCTGTTTGCTCAGCCTCGTGTGTATCCACAGCCCCGCACCACGTTCTACAAGTGCCAGTTCAGCCCATACTTCAATCAATCCACACTCCGCAAAAAAGAGCCTGTGTTCTCATCTGCTACCTCCAAGGAGGTTGGTGGAAACAAATCAAAACACAATGTCCTCTGGACCAAAAATTCTGCTTTACCTTGAGTGATCCCCACCATGACATTTCAATCATTGTGTGCAGCGGTTGCGTGCTGTGGTTGTGTGTTTCTTGTGTTTGTGGTTGTGTGTTTGTGATTTTGTTTGTGGTTGTGTTTGTGATGGTGTGTGTGCAATTGTGTGTTTGTGGTTGTGGTTGTGTTCGTGATGGTGTGTTTGTTGTGTTTGTGGTTGTGGTTGTGTGTTGTGTGTTTGTGGTTGTGTGTTTGTGATTCTGTTTGTGGTTGTGTTTGTGATGGTGTGTTTGTGATTGTGTGCTTGTGGTTGTGGTTGTGCTTGTGCTTGTGATCGTGATGGTGTGTTTGTTGTCTTTGTGGTTGTGTGTTGTGTGTTTGTGGTTGTGTGTTTGTGATTCTGT